AGAAACCCCCAGGTAAAGAGAGAGCAGCCAGCTGCACCCGTCCCCTGAGCTGTGGCAACTTCTTTTGTCTCTCTTAAATACCTGGTTGTTATTGTTCCTTGACAACAAAATGGGAGAAAATTCCCTGAGAGAAAGAAACAAAAGGAAAAATTCCTAAAACCCAACAGTCTTCATCCTAGAACAACGAGTAATCCTTTTTTATGATGAAAAGCTTAAATCACGAAGTATTTTTGAGGAATGAGACTTCTCTGATAGTTCAGTATTCTGTTAGGAGTTGATATGAAAAACGGAAAGATGATTTTGAAATGTTGCACTATTATACACAGATGTGATAGATGAGTAATGTGATAGTTGACTCTCACAATTAAAAGGCAAATATCACATACATATGTTAAGAGAAGTTTTATAGACTTAGAGTTATGTTTTGCCCCCCTCCCCCCGCATTGTTATCAGGGGGTGGGACTGGGTTTGGGTCATGTGGGAGGGCCGGCTTGTTACTTGTAATATATGTTAGAAATAATTCATGCTATAAAAGAATGTATTTTATAAAGATTGTGAAATCCAAACGAGTCTGACCACAAGCAGCCTGAGAGGCGGGTGTCTATTCAAACTCCAAAATTCCTGGAGTCAGCTAGATAACGATCAGCATTTAGCCCAAGAATAGACGCACCCAGCGCAATGATCACCGTTATACCGAGTCATTGGAAACCGCCTAAGAGCGATCATCACCCTGTGGATTATATTTATCAAGATAGCCAAAGTCGCCAGAAAGATACATGTGAATACGCAACTTCCTGGGATTTGATCAACGCTGGCTATCAACCAGGAGATGGTCTTTGTCCAGCTCTGCACAGTGAAAGAACCAACTATGAATGTGAAGAGTTATAAAAGAAACTGGGACTCCTTCACCTCGGGCACAATAAACTGTATAAAACCTTGTTGCTAGAAGCGACTCTCGGGAACGAGGGGGGATTCCATGCAATAGAGGTCAGATCCAGGTTCACCCAGCGCTGATCTCAGGCTCGACGCTGTCTCTTTGGCTGTGGTGGTTTTGAGGACCGTATTTTGGTCATAGAAAAAGATAAATAAATCTTTCTGCATTTTTTATAATTTGGCTTTTGATTGATCATTTATAACATTACTGAAGCGATACGCAGAATAAATAGACTCCACAACTTGGTGTAGTTATGAAATGGGTATGTATGTCAGTACTCGGCACAAGCGAGATAGCTCTCATGAAAACTTGTGCCCCAAGCCCTGGTCTGACCCACATCTTTATTCACAAAGATGTTCCATATGCATTACTTTGCACAACCTTTCAATGCATATTCAGCCCTTGGCCCTGCCTGTCCTCGCCTTGCATGGTAATTAGATCCACACCCTTCTGGGCATGCATTGTTTGCTGTGGTGTTCACACGGGGGTCTTTGGTGGTCTCTGAGGCCAAAGGCTGTGGTCTTCACGATTGAACTTTTGAACTTTTCTCCTTTATGCACGCGCTTTGGTCCCTTGGTGCTTATCTGAGTACATCTTACATCTGTCGGTCTTGATGAGCTTGGAGACAGAGGAGCCTCTTTATCTATGTTTCTTGCATTCCTTGGTCTTCTCCCGGATTTGTTCTTTATCACAAGAACCTTCAGAAATGTTTCATTTTCCTATGCCCTTTGTACCATGGCAGAGGTTTCTTAAGTAAAAGGCTAAAATTCGACACACAATTCTACAAGCTATAATTTAAATGCTTAATTCATATTGCTAATTTGAGCGAACCACCAAAACCTCCATGTCATTACTATGGCAACATCTGACCTCCAATCAAGATTTAAGGACTTACACCCCACCACTGGACAGCAAAGAATGAGTCGATGGACAGAACTTTGGTAGGGGCTAAAGGATTAAAAGGCCAAATCTCTATTGTGTGGATGAGCACATTGTGGGAAAAAATCCTTTGCTCCCAGCCCAGTCATATTTTCTCTATTCAGTCGTCTGTTATATTTTTGATAAGGTTTTAATAAACCTTTTAAATTTTTGAAAGTGAGTATCATTTCTTGAACAGAGGTAGAGTTTGCTCAGGCATGATGCTTCCTCCTCTATGCATTCCAAAAGATGGTTGGTGTATTGGCTTTCCACTACAAGGTTTTGGTATCTGGGGGGGGGGGTCCAGGGTGGCTTCTGTGAAAAGCTGCCAGATGTCAGAGCCAATGCCAGACAACTTCAAGACAGACCCACCACTAGCCAAGGCCAGGCCAATCAGCAATGGTGGTGTGACTTCCCACTCTTAAGGGGAAGGGAACATCCAAGATTCATAGATGCTCGCAGTTGAAAGGAATGATGAAAGCCAGAGGGTCTGCAAAAGCTTGCATAGTTTTATTAGTTAATTACATACTTAGCATAGAAGAGGTATGTTAGTTCCTGACCTACTACGTAAACACGTGGCAGTGGGTTTTGGATAAAGGGGTAGAGAAGACAGAAAGAGATTAATTATAGAGGGGGGGGAAGAGAGAGAGAGAGAGAAAGAAAGAATGAAAGAAAGGTGTTGTCTTATATAGCATGAGTTCTATTATCATTATAGTGCACAGATTTCATAGCCTCAGAGTTTCATACCTCCTTGATGTTTCTCATAGGCAGCTCCTCTGAGTGCTGTCTGTCCCTAATCCTTACAGCAATAACCTAACTCCTCCAACTCCCCTTCCCATCAGGCTACTCTTTTATACCACTAGTTCTTATTTGCTACAGGTGTTGCCTGTTATCATCTGGCCTGCTCCTAATGTTTAGTAATAGGGTCCATCTGCAACTCATTGGGGGATAAGATTATATTCTACATTACCCATCCTATACTATCATCCTTACCCATCACATCACCAGTCCTGGCTATTAATGTTGGAGATGCGCACAGTAGCCCCCTTATCTTCCAAGCTTCTACAGATGGTAGTGCCTCTGGGATAGCATCTTTTTTTTTGGGGGGGGGGGGGGGGGGATTGCTGCACAAGAGCAGCTGTGAGAGGAGTGCAAATATGTGAGAGAAACAACTGCCGACACCAAGGTCAGTGGAGAAGGAAGGGGAGGAGGAGGTGCTCCAGGCACTAGAGCAGATTCCCCTGCAGCCTGTGATGAAGACCATTGTGGGACAAGTTTTCTCCATGTACCCCATGGAAATTAATGGTGGAGCAGCCTGTGGAGGATCCCATACCAGAGCAGGTGGATGTGCCCAGAAGAGGTTGTGACCCTGTGGGAAGCCCATGCTGGAGCAGGCTCCTAACAGGACCTGTGACCCTGTGGTGGACAGTAGTGTTTTGACCTTGGCTGGGTGCCAGGTGCCCCCTAAGCCAGGGCATCCACCTGCTCTGGCATGGAGCTCCTCCACAGGCTGTAAGTGGATCTCTGCATCCCTGTGGATCTCCACGGGCTGCCAGGGCACAGCTTCTTCACCATGAGCTGCAGAGGAATCCCAGCTCTGGGGCCTGGAGCACCTCCCCCTCCTCTTTTTTCACTGATCTTGGTATCTGCAGAGCTGTTCTTCTCAGATGTTCTCACCCTGGTCTTCTCTGGCTGCAATTACAACTGCACAACAACTTTTCTTTCTTCTTAATGATGTTATCACAGAGGCTTTCCTACCATTGCTAATTGGCCCAGCCTTGGCCAGCTGCATGTCCATCTTTGGAGCCACCTGGGATTGGCTCTGCCAGACATGAAGGAAGCTTCTAGTAGCTTCTCACAGAAGCGACCCCTGTAGCCCCCCTGCTACCAAAAATCAGGCCCTGCAAACCCAATACAGCCACAAGGGCTTATTGCTGACTCATGGGCAGCTTGTTGTACACCAGGGCCCCCAGGTCCTTTTTTGCAGTGTTACTTTCCAGCAGGTCACCCCCAGCTTGTACTGGTGCCTGGGGTTATTCCTACCCAGGTGCAAGACCCTGCATTTTCCTTTGTAGACTTTCAGAAGCTTTTTCTGTCCATCTCTCCAACCTGTTGAGATCTTTCTAAATGTCAGCACAGCACTCTGGGGTATTGGCTGCTCCTCCCAGCTTTGTATCATCGGTGGACTCGCTGAGGAGGCATCTACGCCTTCATCCAAGTCATTGATGAACAAGTTAAACAATACTGAGCCCAGCATTGAATCTTGGGGCACACCACTAGTGACAGGCCTCCAACTAGACTGCAACTGATCGCAACACTCTGAGACCTGCCTTTCAGACAGTTCTCAATCTACCTCACTGTCCACTCATCCAACCCACACTTCCTGAGTTTGCCTATGAGGATGCTGTGAGAAAGTGCCAAAAGCCTTGCTGAAGTCCAGGTAGACAGTATACACCGCTGTCCCCTCATCTATCCAGGTAGTTGTCTTGTCATAGAAGGCAATAAGGTTGGTTAAGCATAATTTCCCTTCAGTGAATCCATGCTGACTACTCCCGATCACCTTCTTGTCATCCATGGGGATAGACATGGCCTCCAGAGTGAGGTACTCCATCACTTTTCCAGGGATTCAGGTGAAGCTGAGTGGCCTGTAGTTCCCTGGGTCCTCCTTCTTGCCCTTTTTGAATATGGGCACATTGCTTCTCTGGTTAACCTTTGTGAAGTAGATAGCTCTGGAAGACATTATTAATGAATTGTATCATGTTTGAGAATAGGAGCAGATCACTGTTAAATCCTGCCATTCTTTAAAATAATAACTGTCCTTATTGGTATTCATGTCTGAACAAAATTAAAATTCTTTTTACTTTCTGTTAATCTATAAAATTCCATATTGTGTTTATGGAAAATAGTGCAGTGTAAAAACAAACAAGTGAAACACTGCATCACAGAGTATATATTATAACCTAAAAATTATAAATATTGCACAGAGCATATCAGATTTTCAGTTCCTGGAAAGGAGTTAAGGGGGAATGCACCACCACAATCAGTAACAGTTCCTTTAAAACAACTGGATTCATTCTTTCAGAGTTAATGAAAAGATGTTTATTAGAATAGGATATTGTTTCCCTATAATTGTATCTTGTTTTCTTAGCCTCCTCCAGGAAATGTGAGAATGACTCATGTACCCAGTACCCAGCCAGCAATAATGAAACCAACAGAAGAATCACCTGCTTACACACAAATTTCAAAGGTTTGTTTATAACTTTCAGGCACTAGGTTCCTTTCAATTATAGTAATATAAATACGCTCCTGAAGTTGTGTATGTTATAAATAAACATTGTTTTCCTAATAATTTATGAAAATGAATACTGACTTTAAGTAATCAGTTACTGCATGAATTTGTGTAATATTAGGTTGATCTTCATAACTGGAGATGTTAAATTTTGGAAAATAGACTTGGAATATTAATTTTGTGTTTGTATGTTTTTAATTGCTAATAATGCTTATTTTGTTCAGGAGCATGCCTTGGCCCAGGCAGAACTGCTAAAGCGTCAAGAAGAACTGGAAAGAAAAGCAGCTGAATTAGATCGCAAAGAAAGGGAAATGCAGAGTGTAAATCAGCAGGGGGGTATGCATAAAAATGTTTTTTTTTTTAATTACAGAAATTTCACTTTTTCTTAGAAACTGTTTTAGTTTTACAGTGTTACTGTAGTGAAACAGATCAAAGGGGGTTTTATAACCTCCTCAGGAAAAGAAAATTTATTTCATTTGGAACAATGCAGTGAAAAATAACTGACCTGTGCAGATTTTCACAGCAAAAATTTTAAATGAGGCCTATGTTACATGTTACTCTCTGCTATCAGCTATTTTTATTCTAGGTTAATATCCAAGTAATACTGTTGAATAGAAATGGAGCAGTTTGAGAAGTAACTTCATAAGTAACATCTCTGATTTCACTTCTGTCAGTATTTATAGCTGTAGGAGAATTTTACTCTTTTGAAACATTTTCTTATCTTTTGGCTGTTACAGACAGTATTCTATGCTAATAGCAGAAAGATTTATTTTATTATTAATATTCTATTAATTTTTCATATGTTGCTTTGTAACCCATTGTTAAGATCTGTATCTCATTTTGCCACAACATTTAAGTAACCATCAGTTTTTATACTGCAATTTCACATATGGAATTTACATCCTCTTAACTGAAGATACTTTGCTAGAATTAGATCTACAGGAAAAAATTTTAGACTGAAATTAAAAAACCTCAAACAAACCAAAACACCATGCAAGGTTGACTTTGCGTGTTCCTTTCACTTGTATCTAGAAATCTGACTGTTGTATTTCCACATGTGCTGAGATTTTTTTTGCTGCTGTGGTTATTGGAATATACAGCAGCACAATTCCAGATTGCATGACCACTTAGTAATTCAAATTCTTAGAAACTTTATGCCACTCATCTGCTAGGATCTGGGAATAAGGAATTGCTATTCTTCTAAGGAAAAGAATCATGATGATATTGTCCCTACATTAAACAATTTTTATTTTCTCAGTATTTATTCTTTTCAATATCTCTATTAAATCTCTGTACCTCTTCTCCCAGATAATTTTTTGCTTGTTTGTTTTTTAATATTCTTCTTCATATATTGCTCTTCATCTAATTTCACTGACTTATATTGATGATCTGAATTGATCACTTGTCTCTTTCAGGCTTCAGGGACAGTCTTGTTCATCTATATCATAGGAAACAACTCTGATACTGCATGCATGTTTCATGATATTTCTAAAATGGATATTTACTGTTTTATTATGTTGCAGTTGTCTCCTAGTTTTGGCCAGAACAGAGTTAATTGTTCTTTTCTGCAGTAATGTGGCTGTGGGAGTGTCTAGGAGGTTATTCCATACTACCTTATGTCATTTGCCCGGGGTGGGGGAAAAGGACTTTCTCTCTTGTTTCTGAGAAGAAGGGTGCTCCTTCCACGGGGAAAAAGCATGGCCGGTAAAATGGTTGGTATTGCCACAGACTTTCTGTGTAAATAGTTTCTTTGTCTTATACCTTTTTTTATTACCATTGTTGCTGTTACTGTTCATTTTCTTATCTCATTGCTGTTTCCAGTAAATTGTTTTTCTCAACCTGTCATCTTTGCCTTTTGTGCTTCTAACTAGAGGGGGAAGGGAAGCGAGTGCTGGCATGGTTACAGTGGGAGCACTGAACTGGGGAATATCATTCCTAAACCATGACAAGTTGTTCACATCCAAGTGCTTGAAGAGTCCATGAAGAATCTAAAGGATTCTTTAGGAAGGTTGAATAGGGAAGAGAGAGCTCTTAAAGCTTGAAAGAGAATATTGGGGTTTTGCCAAATGACTGCATAAAAGGTACTGCACATCAGAAATTGTATGTTATGAATGAGGAGAACAATATTCCTTTCCTTCTGATTTTTTTCTTGTCACACTCATGCAAACTCCTTTGGAAACATTTTAGACATACTTTGATTGGAGGACAAAGTCTTTCGCAATAGTACTCTAGCTATTTGCATTCAAGATGCTGGCTGCACATTTAGGACACTTGTCATATGCAACTGACAAAAATGAAAAGATCTTCAAGCTGGTAGGTCTGCTCAGCAATAGGTCCAGGGAGGTGATTCTCCCCCTCTACTCCGCTCTTGTAAGACCCCACTTGGAGTACTGCACCCAGCCCTGGGGCCCCCAACATAAGAAGGATGGGGACCTGGTGCTGTTGGAGCAAGTCTAGAGGAGGCCACAAAGATGCTCAGAGGGCTGAAGCACCTCTGCTATGGAGACAGGCTGAGAGTTGGGGCTGTTTAGCCTGGAGAAGAGAAGGGTCCATGAAGACATAGCAGCTTTCCAGTACTTAAAGGGGGCCAACAAGAGAGCTGGAGAGGGACTTTTCACAAGGGTATGTTGTGATCGGACAAGGGGAAATGGCTTTAAACTGAAGGAGGGTAGGTTTAGATTAGATAGTAGAAAGAAATTTTTTACCAAAAGGGGGGTCAGGCACTGGGACAGTTGCCCAGAGAAGTTGTAGATGAGTGTAGTGAGTTGACCTTGGTCAGGTGCCCGGTGCCCACTAACCCACTGTATCACTCCCTTTCCCAGTGGAACAGGGGAGACAATAAGATGGAGAACAAACAGCGGGTGAGATAAGGGAGTTTTATTACAGTGAAAGAAAGAAATAAGTGAGTCTGTGTGCACATAAGTGAAGGGAAAAGTCTATCTCTACTTCCCATCAGCAGCGATGTTCAGACACTTCCTGGGAAGCAGGGCTTCAGCACTTGTAATTGTTCCTCCAGGAAGGCAAACATTGAAAACTCATGAATGCCCCTCCTTCCTCCTTCCTCCCTTAGCTTTATATATCTGAGCTGACGTTATATGGTTGTGTCCCCTCCCAGGATTTTGCCCACTCATCCCTTTGATGGGGGAAGGAATGTCAGGGGGACAGCCCTACCCAGCAGTAGCCAAAACACTGGTCTGTTAACACCTGTCAGCTACTAATGCAAAGCACAGCACTGTGAGGGCTGTGAACTTTATCTCAGTCAGACCCAATACAATACCCCATCCCTGGAGACATTCAAGGCCAGGTTGGAAGGGGCTTTGAGCAACCTGGTCTAGTGGAAGGCATCACTGCTCATTGCAGGGGGTTGGAGCTAAATGATCTTCAAGGTCTCTTCCAACCCAAACCATTCTATGATGTCCTCAGTCTTCTCTTTTCAGTTTCTACGCAGTATTGCACTTGAGCTTATGTAAGGACCTGATAATAAGAAAAATGCCTCAAAAATTGCTTAGTCATTGTGTCTGCTTATCATAATCTCTTTTAACACCTGAAGACTATGTGCAGGATGGACTGTGAGCTGCCTTGAGGTCCAGAAAAAGAAGGGCAAAAGCTGTGCTAAATCAGGAGGCGAGAGAGAGAGGTGTTGCCATCATATTTTCTGAAAAATCCCTTCCTGGGAAGCTGAGAAACCTCAGAGAAAAATGAAAACAATAATTATCTGATCTTCTTCTGTGTTTTGCTGCTTTGGAATGTGGTTTGGACATTGTTTACCAACTGGTCATTGTTTGGTTTCATGTGAATTGTTTTGACTTAATGACCAATCACGGTCCATCTGTGTCGAGGCTCTGGTGAGTCACGAGTTTTTTATTAGTATCTTCTTAAGCCTTCTGTAAGTATCCTCTCTCTATTCTTTAGTATAGTTTAGTATAGCATAATATCATATCATATCATATCATATCATATCATATCATATCATATCATATCATATCATAATAAATTAGCCTTCTAAGAACATGGAGTCAGATTCATCATTTCCTTCCTGCCACGAGGGACCCTGAAAATACCACAGAGAGGGACAAAAACTCTGCCCTTTGCCTCCTCACTCTGCTGCCTGCTAAAGCCTTTTTACAGCTGTGGAAACAACCTGAAGCCTCCCAGAGCTGAGACACTGCCAGCCTGGGGAACACCCTTTCCCCCTCCCCCCGCCATCCTTCATCTTTGGATTGACCAGCACAAGTGGATCAGAGCCACGCATGAGCTGTAGGGACCATGCATTGCATCTGCATTTCAGAAGGCATTCCAGCTAAGCTGTCAACCCCAAGACCAGAAAATGCAGATAAACTACTTCAAGTGGCAGGGAAAAAAAAAAGGCAAAAAGTGCTTGCCCTCCCCCACCCCCACCTCAGCAGAAAAGTAGCAGTGTTGTGATAAACTATCCTATGCTTTTAAAATAATCTTAGCTTTTTCCAACTTTTCTCTACTTTTTCCCTTTTGTTCTCTTTGCCTCTTTTACAGTTAATAAAGTGAAAATATAATTTTTTTTTGTATCAGCATTTAACTTTGTTTTTATCTCATTTCAGGGAATATTCAAACCTGAAGCTCTTTCTGCAATTCGCAGAGAACTCTCTCTGCTCCTCTGCCATTAAACAGATTGTAACATCTTATTAATGTGTGCTGCTTCCTTTTTCAGCTAGTTCATTTTGGCATGCCTGAAAATCCCTTCCTGGGCTTGCATGAATCTAGTTTGTGGGTAACTGCATTCATAGTGTAGGCATGCCAATAAAGTTATGTTAATAGGCCTTGAGATGGTAACTTGTGTGGAATGAAATAACTCAGCTAGGTTTTTGCTTATCAAGATACAGTCTTGGAATATGAGTATCCAAAGTGTATTTAGAAAAAGGCCACTTGGTTTTTGATCTTAAACCAACTCATCAATCTGTCTTTCAGTCTTAGTTGAAAATTTTGAAACTTGTGCCACAGGGGTGGGAAGACACATCAGATAACATTCTTCATTAAGAATTTGAACCATTATAAGATGTCTGATTTTTATGTGACTGTCTTGAAACTATCATTTAAGAAATCCCCAAGAAGATTTTAATATGGATGGGAATATTGCTTGGTTACCTTCTGTATGCTCCCTCCGTAAATACCCTGCTCTAAAAGGCTTGATAAAAATGGTGTCAGGGGATGATGCTGGCCAAATGCCAGTGTATCCATGAAAAATCATTCACTTATTCTCCTCTGCTATAGTTAAGCAAAAGAGGGGGAAAGAACAATTAAAAAAAAGCTCATGGGGTGAGATAACGATTAGGAGGAAACACTTTAAGGGCAAAATAGGC